TACTGGAATATGGCACCCGATTCTTACATTACGTAAAGTGGCAATATAAAATAGTTTTTTGCAACAGTTTTTAGCGAGCTTGCTGCTAGCGCAATCGGCAAAGGCGTTGCATGCGTGCAAAGTGAAACGAGGTCGGGTCCGGGTTTAGTTTTTGCCGTCGGTTTTCTGTTGACTTAAAATATTTTTACTTTTTTCCCTCCCACTTTTTAAAATATTTATTTTACTTAAAATATTTTTACTTTTTTCCCCCCCACTTTTTTAACTCTCAAATAGTTTATTAGACCTTTTATTGGTTAGGGTTAGAGAAGGGGTTGGGGTCAGGTTTATCTTAAATATTATGACTGCAGTACGAATAGCAAATCAAACTCGGCGTACTGTTCCAGTACGAATAGCCACGGCGATATAGCAAACGTTATTTCCCCTTATATAACCACTAGTGGCAATGCTGCCTGCTGGACAAGAATACAAGTCGTTTCATCCCCAAGTCATTCGAAATCAAAGTGGTTTTGCCCCTAAATCATTAAATGTCAAAGTTGTTTCACTCCCTTTATAAAAGTGTGCAAAAGGTTTACAGATTGCCATGTGTTTACATATTGCTTTCGCTACTCCTACTCCCTATACGAAAAATTTGAATGTTATTGGCGCTTATCGCTGCCAAAACAACTTGTATTTATTTTTGTGATTTTATTTTAATAATATTAATTAAGCTATTTCAGTTCTTAGAGTATAGATAATGATGGATTAAAAATATAGTGAAGAATATATCGAGTGCAACTTGTTCATGCTTGCGTTTTTATATATATTTTTGCAAAAAAATATTTATCGCCTTATCGTATACGTTTTTTTGGGGGGGGGGCAAAACAACCATGCAGGGCAGTAGCTAGACACCATAATTGGGGGGTGTATATTCATGTTCACATACTGTAAAAACAATCGCTTTCAAAAGAAATCCGTCAGGCAGAACATGAATATATGAATATACAACCCCCTCAGCCAATTATCGGTCTAGCTAGGGCCCGGAAAACAACTTTGACATCTAATAATTATTTGGGGGCAAAACGACTAAAGTTATTATATCGAATGATTTGGGAGCAAAACAACTTGGGGCAAATCGACTTGCGGCAAAGCACCGTAAGTTACAGTTATCACTGAGTAATTTTAAAAAATACAAGTCAATGGACACTCCGAAAACATTTAAATTTTAATTTGACGTTTCGACTATCTTGCAGTCATCATCATTCGACGTTTTCACTAGCTTGCAGTCATCATCATTCATGATGATGAATCTTGATGATGACTGCAAGATAGTCAAAACGTCGAATAAAAAATGTTAACTGTTTTCGGAGTGTCCGTTGTTTTGGTTTTGCATTTTTTGCAAAGTACTGTCACTTGCAACTATTGTCATTTGTCAAGAGCATTTGACAGGTTTTAATCCAGCTCCAAGCTGATTGGCTGAGCAAATTGAAACCATCAAAGACATCAAAAGTCATCACAAACATTGAATTTTGTCGGTAAAAACATTGAACTTTGTCATGAGAATAAAACAATGTTTTATCTGTGACCGTCCATCCTTTATTAAGTATACTTGCAAGCGACGGTAATAAAACAATTTAAAATTTATGCATGATTTTCAACGTATACTCACCAAATATTCGTTTACAATAACGTTCAGACGATTAATATGAATCTCCATCAACTCCGCCTTGCAATTTTTTACACTAAAACTACAAAAAGTCTAAATATTTTCACACTGGGGGCTAAATCCTAGCCCAATCTTGAAATTCGAATTTAGTAATGTTTATATTTTTATTTTTATTTCACGAAGTGTTTCCATTTCTAGAACACACAATTTCTTATATTTTCAACCTGGGCAACAGGTGGGAAATTTGTTGCGCATGCGCTATTGAAGCTTGAAGATTTCCCCGAAGAAATAGCGCGCGAGACGCTTAAAGGTGATCTGACAGTCCATATGTAAACAAAGCCTTTGGTTACATTTTTGTGTCCAAAATATTGAGCTTTATTCAACAACTATTTATATTTTCAAGCTTCTAGAGTATAATAAATGATCAAGAAACAACAATCAGGCTTTTCAAGAACTCAAAACATAGTTAAACTGTTTGTATCGTAAAAAGTGGGCTCATTTGTGCACATGCGCAGATCGGACTGTAGATCACCTTTAATTTTTTGATACTTCGTCGGATTTTTTTTCAAAAAACACTTCTGGTGCACTCCTATTATAGTCGGGCAGATAGAGGACCAAAATGATGGAAAACTTACGTTATCGTGTGACAATTCCATTTTGCCTTCATATTGTGCCCTGAAGGCTAATATAATAAGTACGTTTCTGTATGTTGGCCGCGTTAAAATGTATTAAACTCTATTACAGTTAAAAAATGTGAAATTTCTGATACATTTCTAATGCAAATGACTTACATCAATAGAAAGCTAACAAAAAACTACATATGAAACATTTAAATGGTTAGTTGGGATTTTCAAGCGGTTTTCGAGTTATTGCCGTTTCAAATGTGAAAAATAAGCCAAAATCTCACAAAATTCCTGGGTACTAGTCTGAAAACACGCATTCAACAGCTCATAACTCAAAGTCTTTATTGTCTAGAGTCACAACAGACGTGCAACTTTACAAATGTCAAATTCCTATTTGTTACAGTTAAAAAAATTGATCTATCCTAATTAATTATATAAAAGTTAAAAATAGTTAAAAAGACATCTATTTATAAAGGATCGTTTAAATCGCTCCGTTTTAATTTGAGGTAAAATAAAGTTATGTTCCCTTTGTCTTAAGATCCTTTGTTTACACACAGGAAGCAATTCATGTAGGGCATGTTCTGGATTCGATACGATTTTGCTGAATAATTTTCTGTCTCTCTCCTCGATCACTTCAGTATCTTAATACTCTTTGTCGTATATCCATAACGATAAGCCCGCCGGAAAAACTTGTCTATACGATCCAAATATTTCTTTTGGAGTGCAGAGCCCCACACTTCAATGCAATAGTAAAAGAGTGACATGATTAGCGAATCGAATAATTTGCTTAGCTGATCTGCAGAGTAAGGCCAAATAAAAAAAAAATACTTGGTTAGCGTCACACTCTCACAAATTTTCAGAGGCGGGCGGGCGGATTTTTAAAAAAATTTTTACTCGTTTTTTAATTTTTTAATAGTATTTTTGGAGGGGATGGGGGCGGTTTTTCCACCATATCGGTGATATTTTTTGGACTGATGTTGCGAAGGCCGCCATTTTGCTTTAAGAACATTGTATACCCAAGCCTACGCGCTCCTATATCGATCAGTATATAGCGCGAAGCTCTGAGCATGAGAAAAATTTCAAATATTAAACTGTTTTAAGCTGTAAAGCGAAGAGATTTACATAAAAAAAAAAGAATTCAGAGGCGGCAGAAAATCGAGAGGCGAGAGGCGGGCGGTGACGCTAACCAAGTATTTTTTTTTGTTTGGCCTAACCATAGCATCTACACACTCTCAATATGTACAAGTACGCCCGCTGGCCTTCGACAGAAGATCATCGATATGAAGATCCCAGCAACATGGATTTTCCTGAAATGTGACACCTAATAATTTCAACCAGCTCTTTCGTTCAATGCCTACAATCGGTGCCGGTAATGGTTTCATGGACCCACAGTGCACAACCATTTCCCTTTTAGAAAGATCTAATGTCATTTGATTTGCTTCCGACCAATTCTGAATGCTTTCGACCTCAGCCTCAGCAGAATCCGATCCTGATTTTACTGGAGCACTTGTCGTTATATCGACAGCAAATTTAACCAATAAGTTATTTTGCGCATCCATGGGTTTTATATCATTAACCATCAACGAAAATAGAAAGGGACCCAAAACCGTACCCTGCGGTACGCCTTTGTTGATATCAACATAAACAGTTTCTATGCCATCAACAACAATTTTTTTTCTGTTGGCCAGAAAACTAATAATCCAGTTTATAGTATACGGATTAATTTCGAGTGTTTTCAATTTTTCACAAATAATGTTATGGCTGGTTATCGTACTAACTCGGCCTTCAGGGCACAATATACGAAGGCAAAATGGAATTGTCCCATGATATCGTAAGTTTTTTCCTTCTATCTGCCCGACTATTACAGCAGTAGGGGTGGACCATTAAATATACTGGGAGGGTTGGGGGTGGGAGGGTCGGACTAGAAAAAAATCCTGAAAACACTTGGGGAAAGGAAAACAATTCGTGCAAGCTTGAGAAATCCAAATGAAACTTATTGG